AAACTTATGAATTGTTTATTTCTGGAATTTTCCATTTAATATGTTTGGGCCAAGGTTGACCGCAAATAAATGAAATCTTGGATAAAAGGAGACTACCGTATGTTTTTTATTGGCTTAAATCCACAATTGTCTCACTCTTTGAACTCTCCTACAAGCAAACTTTCTAATTTGATTTATGACCTTATTTTTATAAAGACAGTAATAGGAACATTTGCTTTCTAAATTAACGTCAAATACCCTATTAGGAAGCTAGATGAAAGATAAAATGCAATTCCACCCAACAAACATGGAATATCAATTATGAGCAAAGTCCTAAAAATGATTCAATGACAAAGAAAGGTCATGGCCCTTAAGAAACCTACAGCCAAGTAGAGAAAATGGAACATTTGCATTATTCCAAGAGTATTCATTTTATAGAAAGCGAAAAACAAATTCAGAAAGTAAAGCATTATGGACGATTAAAAAGAACTTAAGAAGAAATGATGTGGATTGTTGGAAATCAGTCAGAAATTCCTCAGCCTAAAAAAATCTATGACCTATGTTCTAGTAAGTAAAGATAGCAATAGGAAGATCTTGCATTCAAACCCATTCCACCAGAGCGAGATTGCCTAGCAGGGGTGAAATTTTGAGGTGAGATAGTCTGTGACCTGTCACTGGGACAATCTGAGACCCCTGGAAAAAGATTCAAATTCCAGCCAGTGTTATTGCCCTGCGCAGGAAGGGAGAAACAGCTGTCTAAAAAGCCTGCCAAAAAATCCAGGCAACTGGAGATGGGAAGACTCAGGAAGCGTTTCCTAAACAGGAAACAAAAGAGTGAGGGGGTCAGGCCGGGAGAGAGAAAGTGTGGAGTTTCATGCCATTGGTGAAGGATAATTGTTTTCTTCCTCACAATGTCTATAGATTGGCCACAGACAGAAATATTCAGAAAAATGAAAGTGCAGAAACTATCAGAGGAAGACAAAAATGATCGATACCAGGAACATCTCTATCATCACATGGAATATTCCATCTTGCACAGATTTCTCCTAAAAGTCAAGGATTGAGCTAAAGGACACCCCTGAGTTTGGGGGTAAGGAGACCCAGGGACAAGGGGGAGTGTTGGTTATCTCATCAGTGAGCATAGGAAATCCTACGGAACTGCGGTCCCCAACCCCTGGGGCCACTGGTCTGTGGCTTGTTAGGCTGCACAGCAGGAGGCCAGAGAGGGAAGCTGCAGCTGTCAGAGCCAAGCTCCCCATCACTGGCATCATGGCATAAGCTCCACCTCCTGTCAGATTAGCTGGGGCATTGGATTCTCATAGAAGCCTGAACCCTACTGTAAACTGAGCGTGCACGGATCTAGGTTGTGTGCTCCTTATGAGAATCTAATGCCTGGTGATCTGGGGTGGAGCTGTTTATTTGGCTTTGTTTTGTGGTGGTGGTGGTGGGGTTTCAATTTCCTGTCATACAGTTTATCAGCTTTTCCATCTTTTTCATATTTGGTGGTTGTTTTAAGTAAATATTGCTTCCTTTTAGTTATATGAAGGGGACATTTACTTTCTTCTCTCACCAAGATATAGGTTCAGAAATAAGATCCTGCCGGGCGCGGTGGCTCACGCCTGTAATCCTAGCACTCTGGGAGGCCAAGGCAGGCGGATTGCTCAAGGTCAGGAGTTCGAAACCAACCTGAGCAAGAGCGAGACCCCGTCTCTACTATAAATAGAAAGAAATTAATTGGCCACCTAATATATATATATATAATTAGCTGGGCATGGTGGTGCATGCCTGTAGTCCCAGCTACCTGGGAGGCTGAGGGAGGAGGATTGCTTGAGCCCAGGAGTATGAGGTTGCTGTGAGCCAGGCTGACGCCACGGCACTCACTCTAGCCTGGACAACAAAGTGAAACTCTGTCTCGGAAAAAAAAAAAAAGAAAAGAAAAAAAACAAAGAAATAAGATCCTGCAGGAATCCTTCCCAATCTAAAACTTATTTAAAGCTTTGTCTATAACTTTAGAGACCTATATGGATGCATATCCTGACAGCAACCCACTTGAATTGCTCTAATTTTTAGTGACTGTAAATTCTAGAAAAAAAAAAAACACACACACAAAAAAACAATAAGGCCATAATTGTAAACTGACATCAAGAGAAATTGTGAAATGACATAAAGGGAAATATACCTAGTATATCCACAGGAGTAGTGAAAAGTTAATTACAAGAGAAGCCCAGCCTTCTGCCATAGTACTGTGCGATTTAGGCAGAAAAGAAAAAAAAAAGTTCACCTCCAATGAAGTTAAGATTACCTACAATGATGTGGTGGAAGAATTTATTAATACGGGAGAATATTATTTTGTAATATGTGAGAAAAAAGGCAAGACATTAACTTTTATATTGTAATCTACTCTCCACATGCATGAGCATGTCACTCCCCCTGAACAAAAGAATGTGACAACTATTGTTCCACCTCTTTTATACTTATGCACCTCTGTAATATAATCCCAGCTACTTGGGAGGCTGAGGCAGGAGGATCATTTGAGTCCAGGGGCTCAAGACCAGCCTGGACAATATAGCTAGACCCCTGTCTCTAAAAAAATAAATAAATAAATGAAAGAAAGAAAATAGCATAGAAAAAACAAAGGTATAGTTACAAGAAAATGCCAGGCTGTTTACACAACACTTTGCTGAGATGTGAGAAAATGGAATAAGGGAGGAAACATATACAAATATGTTCATACAACAGGTTGAGTATTCCTTATCTGGAATGCTTGGGACCAGACATGTTTTGGATATTGGAATATTTGCATATTTATAACGAGATATCTTGGGGACAGGGTCCAAATCTAAACACAAAATTCATTTATGTTTCATATACATCTTATACATATATTTTGATTGTAATTTTCTACAATTTTTTTTTTTTGAGATAGAGTCTCACTCTGTTGCCTGGGCCAGAATGCCGTGGTGTGAGCCCAGCTCACAACAACCTCAAACTCCTAGGCTCAAGCAATCCTTCTGCCTCAGCCTCCCGAGTAGCTGGGACTACAGGCATGCGTCACCATGCCCAGCTAAGTTTTTCTATATATTTTTAGTTGACCAATTAATTTCTTTCTATTTTAGTAGAGATGGGGTCTCACTCTTGCTCAGGCTGGTTTCAAATTCCTGACATTGAGCGATCCACCTGCCTCGGCCTCCCAGAGTGCTAGGATTACAGGCGTGAGCCACCCAGCCTGGCCTGTTTTCACTTTCTATACCATTTGTGCTATGTGACTATCACCAATACAATGCTCATATGTTGTGAGCATTAAATGGGTTAATCCACAAAAGCACTTATATGGCTTACTGCCTAGCATGTTGCACAGACTCAGTGAATATTAAATGTTATTACTAATGAGTACTCAAAATCATAAAATTGTCATTCCACTGTCATACTTTGCCAATTGAGAAAATGGTCAGGAAGTCTGTTGGCTTGCAGTAATAAACTAAAATGGGAATTAAACAATTGTATCCCAGCCTGAGCAAGAGCGAGACCCCATCTCTACCAAAAATAGAAAAAATTAGCTGGGCATGGTGGCGCATGCCTGCTGTCCCAGCTACTTGGGAGGGTGAGGCAGAAAGATTGCTTGGGCCCAGGAGTTTGAGGTTGCTGTGAGCTAGGCTGACGCCAGGGCACTCTAGCCAGGACAACAGAGTGAGACTCTGTCTCAAAAAAAAAAAAAAAAAAAAAAACTGTATTAAAAACCCACCAAAATAACGTACAGTTAGACACTCAAGAACTGGCATTTTTACCTGAATTACCTACTTAGTAAAAAATAAAAATAATAATAAAAAAAAAAGAACTGGCATTTTCCATAAATTTGCATAGTACAAGTAAACAGAGGTAATAGCAGTTGGTTAAAATAATTAACTGGGACCGATATATATGTTTGAGTAAATGAGCTACAAGACTGCATTAAAAATTTTCTTGTTCTCCTCTAAATATTGAGCATCTAGCCCTAGAACCTGACATAAAGTCCTCAATAAATGTGTTACTGAAGATAACAAAGTGACTTTTTAAAAGGACGAGAGATGATTTATTTATATTTATTACACATTGCACAATTTTAAGAACTATACGCTCATGCAAAGAAAATGATGAAACGGACATGCCCTATAGTGTTGTTACTTGAGATCTTTCAAGAGTTTGGCTATGCAACTCCCTCTCCCATGAGTATCTGCCACATATTTGAAATGCCCTCCTTTAGAATAAGGTGTTGAGTCCACACATGGTCCCCTTAAAATGCAAATATGTCCTCGGTAAACAGGAACCTAGTTGGTTTCTGGCAGACACTGACACATTTGTCAGTTCTGATGTGAGAATAGCTAGTTGCCTCCTAGAGGCCTAGACGTCGCCGGGTGGGCCGATTCTGAGCTGACCCACTGGGATCTGCCTTGGCCAGCGGCCGGGACCCCACTGACCTCCAGCTCGGCACAGGCAGGGTTCAGGGAGCAGCCCGGACAAAGGCGGCCAGGGAGGCCCCGCGGCGGGCGCGACCCTGCTCGGGTCTCCTTCCCGTCCCCCACTCTGCACACCCTCAGCCCTTGCTAAAACCGGCTGGCTCGCGTCAGGACAATCGCTGCCAGGCAGGTGCCTGCACCACGACGTTAATCCTCATGCTATCTTTTTCATCACGTGAGCGCTGGAGAGGTGGCCACATCGAGTTAACATCTGAAATGTCTTTTTGTTCTTTTCGGCTTACATTCCATGCAATCTCTAAGCTGTGGGCGAATACGTATACATAACTCCCTGCTTGCCCTTTCCAAAGGCACTTCAATTATAAAGGCCGTGCTACAGCATCCCGGCCAGGGAAAGGCGACCCGGCTACAGGCACAGTCTTCAGGTTTCGCCCCGGCCGGGCGGCCCAGCTCCGCGGCTCTGCGGATCCGCCCCTGCCTGGGCCTCCGCGCTCTTCCGGATCTCCCCTTGCCGGCGCCCCAGACAACGCCCGCGCGCGCGCCCCGCTCCGGCCGTCACGTCCCCTGCGTCGGGAGGCGGGGCCTAGAGCGATGACGTCATGTTACCACGCCCCCGCCGTCCCGATATCTGCCGCGCCGCCCGCCATTTTGTCTCCAGTGTCTCGTCTGTCGTGGACTGTGTTGGGGCATCTCTGTCGGTCCGTAGGCGGGAGGCAGGGTACAGGGTCCATTGTCTGTGTTTGACCCTGTGGTTTGGTCCGAGGCCCTCCGGAGCTCTCCCGGGGTAGTCCGCAGAAGCCGCAGCGGCCGCCCCTGCCCCTCCCCTTGATCCCCGGGCCAGGGAGGGACCGAGCCCGCGTCACGCCCCTCAGCGCTCGTCGCTTTCTTCTCTGTCGTTGCGTCCGCATCGTGTCCCCGGAATCAGACGGTGGTGCCCCATAGATGGCCAGCTTTCCCCCGAGGGTCAACGAGAAAGAGATCGGTGAGGAGCGGGACTGTGGGTGGGACTGAGGAGAGAGGCAGGGACTCCCCGGAGGAGGCTTGGGAGGAAGCGCCTCGAGCGAGCGGCGCCAGCCTATAGCGAAGAGAAGGAAGCAGCCCCGCGGGAGGGTGTCCGCCGAGGGGTGAATAGGAACTGCGTCGGTGCGGCGCCTGCTTTGCTTCTGGCACGGAGGGAGGGTCGAGGGGAGCCTGGGCGCGCAGGGGCGAGGGTGTGGTGGGAGCGAGCCCGGGGCCGGTCTGAACCGGCCTTCCCGTTGCTTTGTGGCCGCGGCGGGCACGCATCCCTCCGGACCCCAGTTTCTTCACCAGAGGTCCACGCGGGGCCGGGGTGTCGAGTGGACGGGGGAGGGGTCACTCGCAGGGGTTGCTGGCAAGTCTCAGCAACTCTCATTTAAGTTTACGATGGGGAAGAGTGAACCTGTGTGTTCAGAGCTGCAATGAGAGGAAGGGGTCCTCACGTATACTAACAGCTTTGGATCGAGAAACTTGCCAGAAGAGGTGCCAACCGCCTGGAAAAAGCAATACAGTATTTTAAAAATGGTAGGACGTGAAGAAAGGCTGCGGTTCAAGGGAGGAGACTCTTCGAGAGTTATCATTCAAACACACATGGGAGGAGCTGAGTGAGTGGTTGGGTGGAGTGACCGAAGAATAGCTGCTCTTCGGAAGAACAAACTGGAAAGGCTTTCCCGGCTTAGTGGCTTGGCTAACCCTGCCCCGCTGAAGACAGGGCAATGGGTGTGTGAAGGTTGTGCGTCCACACCTGCTCAGTGGCTCAGTTGAAGGCACCTCGCATTATTTAAATCCTCCCTCTTTAAGTAAAAGAACTGGAACAACTTTGAGGGGTGTTGGGGTACTGTGCATTGACCGATATGCTTAAAAAACATAGATTTTACTGTGTTGTGTAAAAATTGGCGATGGCTACTGAGTAGAGAGCATTTGCATTTTCCTGCTCTTGAAGTAAGTACCTCTTTACTAAATAGAGGGAGGAGGTATTTCTAGAGAAGAGAGGCTGAAGCAGTCAAAACGTCCTCTATCTTGTATGTGGGTGACTTTTTATATCTAGAAAGAGCTCTTAGGGATAAGACTGAATGGCCAATCAGGAGGGGACTTTAACCCTGCTTTTAATAACTATTTTAAAGATACAAAAAACACCAAAAATTCATGTCCAGTTTTTATCTGTATTTTAAGACTACTAAGTATGTCTTGAAGTGGGACATAGAAATCAAATGTTCTTATAATCAGTCCCGTGGGTTTTTCCCCTCCACTACACGGTAATATTATACATGAGTGATCTGCCTTTAGTTTATCTTATTTTACTTCAGCTTGATAAACCATTTTTGAAAACTTTCCAGTCTTTTCTAAGGATTGGATAGATCTTTATGGAACCATCCATTAAGTGGCCCTGTTATTTTTAATTTAAAAAATTATTATTTCTTGCATATTTAGGTCTAGGTGTTATTTCCTGCATATGGCATAAAAAGTCACTAGCTAAGCGCCAAATATCTAGAAGAACTTTGGCCTTTTCTAAGTTTTTTTTAACCCCATTTTTATTTCTTTGTTTCTTTTTTTGAAGTATAATTTGGATACAAGGTTAAACATTTATTTTTCTGTGTAGCTTTTTAATCAATGAGTAAGAACGAATTTTTTCCCATTTTTTTGGTATTAATTGTAGCCAAGCCAAGTTTGGTTTGATCAAGTACTTACTGAGTAGAAGCAAGTTTCTATGAATCACTAAGGAATTCTATATGACAGGAATTACTGCTCTGAGCTACTGCCCTTTCACAAGGCACTGACTGCCACAGATCCTTTGCAGGAAGAAATGTGAAGAAGGAGCTAAATGTGGTTTACTTGGTTTAGCAGTGACTTGGATGAGGTGTTACCACTGTACAGATATTAATATGTAGCTTACTTAGTATCTTATGGCTAATTTCCCATGCGGGCAGCTTTTCCCTTATGCAAGGTCATTAAATTATACTTTTTTTTTTTAGATACAGAGTCTCTCTCTGTTGCCCCAGCTAGAGTGCTATGGCATCAACCTAGCTCACAGCAACCTCAAACTCCTGAGCTCAAGCGATTCTCCTGCCTCATCCTCCCTAGTAGTTGGGACTACAGGCGCATGCCACCATGCCTGGCTAAATTTTTCTAGTAGGGATGGGATCTCTCACTCTTAGTCAGGCTGGTCTCAAACTTCTGAGCTCCAGTGATGCTCCCAGATTGCTAGGATTACAGGTGTGAGCCACTGTGCCCAGCCAAATTGTACATTTTTATTGCTAACATTAAAAGGAAAAATTTCTGATAGATGTACCAAAATAGAATAAATCTTATTAGGTATTCTTATTTATGAATATCATAGAGAAATAGGTCTCAGTTTTTTTTGTTTTTTAAACTGTACCCATTTGTTAATGTGTCAAAGAATTGGGCAAGGAACATTTAAATCACTTGAGAATGGGAGTTTATACATGTGCTTTCATACTCATTCAGTAAATATTTACTGACCACCTGTCATATGCAGGTGCTATATACTAGCTATTGGTGGAGTACACATTCACACTGGAAGTGTCTCTGAATGAGGACGTTTTTAGGGATTTGTGTTTATAGATCTTTAGTTACAAGAGTATAAGTGGTTCTTATTTGAACTACCATACGTAGAATATATTAAAGTTCAGTTGTTGTAAAGTTTAAGCCAAAAACATATAAAAATACTTTATTATAATACTGTAGAGTTGACCAGACAACTGACCACAAAATAGGTAACAGGGAAACTAAACTGATAATAACCTATAACAAAAAAGGAAAAATGGTAAAATTTGAAATCAAGGCCAACCCAAAACAGTATTGGTGATATACTGGTAAAGAGACTCTTTTCCCAAAATTAAATTGCAGTTGAGTTTGCATGTGTATATTGTAGTAGGAGCTGGATGTTATGCTTTTTGTTACATACGGAAGTAATGTTCTCCATATACTCTGATAATATGCCAGTTTTTATGAATGCAAAATTTGAGTAATATTAACTAAATTAAAAATGTATGACATTGTGCAATTTTTGTCCTTAAAAACCAAATTATTCTATTTTTTGAGTCAGTGTGGGGTCCATTAGGAAGACTCTTGAGCACTGCTATTTGAGAATCACAGATACAATTCATTTTAAAGCACTGCTTGGGTAGGTTCGACTAGACAACTTTTAAGTCCCTTCAAGTTCTGAGGGTTTTGTAATTTTCATGACCTGGGCATGAAAAGGATAAGAATATTCATGTTTGTTTTTCTTTTTTTTTTTTTTTTAAGATGCATTAGATGAGCAAAGAATATTCATGTTTGAATAGGCCATTTTATAGTGCTTTCCTTTGAGTAATGGTATAATAATCACATACTATAGTGGTTTATGGTTTTTGAAGGCTAAAAAAATTAATTTGGAAGATAACTTTCTTGCAAAGTAATTTTAATCTCTTGCATTTTAAATGTCACGAATTTGATGAAAACATAATGTAATCAAAAATTAGGACTTTAGTAATTGCCACCACTACTTGGTCATTACATTGTTATTTGACCTTTTTTTTTTTTAACTCTTTAATTGGGAAATTTTAGGAAAATTTCCCAATTTTCCTACCAAAACTTTTTCCTGTACCAAAACTTGAAGATGATTATTATCATTAAGGGATCTTAACATCACATACTTCCCCTTAGAGAGTGGAAAGCAGAACTCACTGTACCCTGTCTGCATAGAAAAGGGAAAAAATTCATTAAATCCTAAAGTAATATGGAAGCAGTCTTACATTCATTGTTGATTATATATGATATCCTGTATTTTTATTTTTATTTTTAGTGAGATCACGAACTATAGGTGAACTTTTAGCTCCAGCAGCTCCTTTTGACAAGAAATGTGGTCGTGAAAATTGGACTGTTGCCTTTGCTCCAGATGGTTCATACTTTGCTTGGTCACAAGGATATCGTACAGTAAAGCTCGTCCCATGGTCCCAGTGCCTTAAGAACTTGTAAGACTCTCTTTTCTTTTTTATATTTTGTATCTGTTTGTGGAATTGACCATTTTCTGCCAGTGTGGGGTAATAAAAACATTTTGATATTTACGTTTTCCTTTACAGATGGTGTTATAAATGTGTCTTAATCTTAGGCTGAGTATATTTGTTGGAAAATTGGTTTAAAGAATTGCCTGGTTTTATTTATACAGTATGGAATATTTTTTCAGATATTTATATGTCTTTAAGTTATTCTATATTTTAAAAGGCAGATTAATTGTTCCCTGTTAGCGTATGTATTGTGTTGTGCCAGAGCAGGTCAACATTTTATTGGATAATAGTGGTGCATAGATCATGTAATTATATTTTATGTATTTTTTCATTGAATTTGAATATTTGTTGAAAGTTTTTCTAAAATGTATCATATGCTAAATTGAATCTTTCCTTGCTTTTTGTATCTAGTAGACCTTCATGGTTATATTCATTAATGGTCTTATTACATATTACTTTAGGTCTAGAAAGTATGAGAAACTGATTATTATGGTTTAAGGTGGTTCTTTTTAAGGTAATTTTGCAGGACCAGCTTAATGATATATTAAGTTACTGTTTTTTTTTTTTTTGCTTGTTTATATTAATGTTTTTGCTTTTTGGTTGAAGGAGTCCAAATTGATACAATGGTTTTGAGGAGAATTTGGGAGGCAAATAGGTTATAAATTGCTTTATTGTTGAACTTTTTCTCAGCCACTAAGAATTTCTGTTAATGATCTGAATTTATTTGCTCTGTCTCTTGTGGTTCAAATAGCAACTTTTCCCCTTCTGATCTATAGGATTCTGTTGTTACTTAGTATCATTATAATTATATTGAGGTTTTTATAAAATTCATGATTATTCAATATCCAGAAGAGTCCAGAATAAAGAATAATTCAGTTTTAATCTTTTTTTCCCCCCAGTCTCTTGCATGGCACCAAGAATGTTACCAATTCAAGCAGTTTAAGATTGTCAAGGCAAAATAGTGATGGTGGTCAGAAAAATAAGCCTCGTGAACATATTATAGACTGTGGAGATATAGTCTGGAGTCTTGCTTTTGGGTCTTCAGTTCCAGAAAAACAGAGTCGATGTGTAAATATAGAATGGCATCGATTCAGATTTGGACAAGATCAGCTACTCCTTGCCACAGGGTTAAACAATGGGCGTATCAAAATATGGGATGTATACACAGGTATGGATTCATAGTTTTAAAAGCAAACCTAATTATTTTTATAATGGAGGACACTGGTTATAGGCACTGGAATATATGATTTGAAAGTTTTAACTTACCAAAAAGTAAGAATTGGTGCTAGTAGTGTGTCTTTATAATTGACCTGAACAGCATCTTTAGCTCATGATTTTAATTTAGGAAAACAATATAGAGTTCACTCTTCAGAGAATATTACAGTAGGGAAGGGCACGTCTAGGAAATGTTATTTAATTATCATTTATAAACTAGTAATTTAGTTTATGACTCAAAGAGCCAGGTGTTTTCTTACATACTTTTTCAATAATTGATAGCTTACAGGCTTTTAAGAAGCAAATCAAGTTTCAACAATCATTAGCTAACCTTTGGAAGGTTTTAGTGACAGTTTATCTAAAGTCCACCTAGACAGATTGAGAAGTTAAATTCTTTGGGCAGTTAAAAACAAATGTGGCCAAGGCAGGCAGATTGCTTGAGGTCTGGAGTTCGAAACCAGCCTGAGCAAGAGCGAGACCCCGTCTTTACTATAAATAGAAAGAAATTAATTGGCCAACTAATATATATAGAAAAAAGTAGCCGGGCATGGTGGTGCATGCCTGTAGTCCCAGCTACTCAGGAGGCTGAGGCAGGAGGATTGCTTGAGCCCAGGAGTTTGAGGTTGCTGTGAGCTAGGCTGACGCCACGACACTCACTCTAGCCTGGGCAACAAAGCGAGACTCTGTCTCAAAAAAAAAAAAATGTATTGTTCACTTCACATGTTGTTCACAATGTGTTGAATTGGTTTGTAGCACGTATTATGTATTCAGAAATGTAAAGGATTTTTAAAATGAGCATTAAAACAATATGTACATTAAAACACAGCAAGCGATACTAATAATGAATGGGGATAATGAATCAAAATTTGACTGGATTCTGGAAAAAATAATTTAAGATAAACACATAGATTCTCCTAGAAAACAAAACTCTTATAGTATTAGAAAAATAAAGTACATTTTTTTCTACTGGAATTATGTTTGAATTTAAAGTTATTGTGGGATAATATGTATCTTTTGGGGAGTTTGAACAGTCGATTAGTAATCCAAGTTCAAGGAAATAATAAGCAAATGAATAATTTGATTTTATATTTTAAAGTCATACTGTTCAAAGATTTGGAAAATGATAATGTGGGGGCTTTCTTGATATTAAATTAACATGATCTGGGAGTTTACATTTCAGGAATTACCTTTTAATTTTTTTTATAAACTTAGGCTTTACTAGCTTGGAAAGAATCCATTTTAAAACAATGTAAATATTAATAGTAAATCTTTAATGGTAACAATAATGGCACTAATAAATAAGTCATTTTATACTTGATAAACTAAGGAGGTGGCCAAGAATTTCTATTCATTTTTTAAAATGGTAAATAACCCTATTTTTTAAAAGAAGGAATTGATAAAAATATTAATATTATCTTTTTCCCCCTTCCATCACATTTAGGAAAACTCCTCCTTAACTTGGTAGATCATACTGAAGTGGTCAGAGATTTAACTTTTGCTCCAGATGGGAGCTTGATTCTAGTGTCCGCTTCAAGAGACAAAACTCTCAGAGTGTGGGACCTGAAAGATGATGGTATGTCTTTTTTCCAGGCTGTGAAAAAGGATTCGTTTCTTAATATTACTATTGAGAGGCATAAGGGTTCATCTGGGGCATTTGACTTTAAAAATGGCATATGATCAGAGCATCCTTTTCTCTACTTAATCCTTTGGTTCCTTTTCCTTTATAGATTGATCAAAATCATAAATATGACCCAGAATAGGAAGCAGCAATTATTCTAAGTAAATAATCTGATACTATTCAGAAACTAACCACACAGATTGTATCAACTATTTGAGGACAAAAATTTCTATCAGATTTAGGGTCTGGTCTATCTTAGGGAGGGCTATTAACTTCCTGCATTTGCTTAGTGAAAATGTAGGTAGAAGATTGGCTGGGCGTGATGGCTCATACCTGTAATCCTAGCACTCTGGAAGACTGAGAGGACCAGAGATGAGCATTTCTTCCTCCTCCTTAGTCCCTAAGGAAAGAGTTTACATTTTTAACAAAAAAAACTTATATTTAAATATGATTTGCTGGTGCTCTAACAGCCTTAAGCTGGAGGTTTATAGGCTTGCCTAGGGATGATATAACTTAAATTTAATGTAGTAGGAAAGAGAACCCTCAGATTTGGAGGCATTCCAGCTGTTGGGTAGTAACTATTGCTTAATAAAGCAATATACTGACATTAACAAATCATGAAGTACCTTCTCTGCATTTTGCCAGCTCCCCGATTGCTTAGCTGTTGAGCGGCAAAGAGATCCCAACAGTAAAAATAGTTTAGTTATTAAATTTTTATTTTCCTTTGCATATCAAATGGTGCTTGCTTATCTCAACCTAATTTTGATTATATGCATGTTTTATGAATACAGGCGCAGTAAAATGTAAGATCCAAGAGAGTAGGGACTTTGGCTTGTTCACAGCTATATCCTCTGTGCTGGCATAGTGTCTGCTATGTATGTAGTAAGCACTCAGTAAATATTTTTAAAGCTAAGAGTTAAATATACTCAAGCACAGTTGTGTGGTATGGGTATAATACACAAGAACTTTGAAGTGGAATGTAAGTTACCAAAAAGTAAGAAAAACGAAGAGCATTTTGAAGATGTTCAACAAGTGTCTTAACCTTGCTAAGTTCCAGTTCCTTCATTTGTAGAATAATGGGATTGGACTAAAAGAATTCTGTCTTCTACAGAAGAACAGTCCGGCTTTTTCTTAAAGGACTAGATGTTAAATATTTTAGGATTGTGGACTGTGCTGTCTGCCATAGTAGCACAATATAAACATGTGGGCATGATTGTGTTACAGTAAAATTTTATTTACAAAAATAAGCAGCTGGTGCATATTGCCAACCCCTGTTACAGATAAATTGCTTTTAGCTGTAAAAGTTTGTGATCCTGTGATTGACTGCCATTTTGAAATACTTCTCATTTGAAATGGATTCTAGAGTTAACAGATACTTCTTTTTGTTCAGGAAACATGATGAAAGTATTGAGGGGGCATCAGAACTGGGTGTACAGCTGTGCATTCTCTCCTGACTCTTCTATGCTGTGTTCAGTTGGAGCCAGTAAAGCAGTATGTGTCAAAGTTCTTGTACATTCATTGTGAATTGGATTATAATAATGTATGTATAATCATTTTAAATCTAAGTAACCTATTAAGTCTGTGCTCGGTGTCACGAATATCTTAAATGTTTAATTTCATGATGGGGAGAATGTGCATGAAGGAAATTAAATAAATATAGTTATTGATTATGAAGTGAGAAGTTGGATTGCTTTTAGGGATAATATTCATAAAATGAGGGGGTATGTCAATTTTATTTTTTGTAAGATCTAGAAAAGTTCATGTGGCTATAGAAGAGATCTAGTCCATATGTTAAGACATTCCCTTGCTAATTATTTTCTTCTCTGTTGTTCTATTTTTTTTGTCCAGCTTGCTGTTTTTAAAGTTTTGAGTCCCAGCTGGTCCTGGACATTTAACTGAAAAAAGTAACTTAAAAACCTAATGAGAATAAAAATAGCACTTATGTATGTTCTAGAGTGAATTATAGATGAGATTTGATATTGTCTGTTTTACATAGCATACCTATAAACAGCTTAAGTAAAATGCCTCTTAAGAGGGTTATGCTTATTAATGAACTATTTTAGCTGTTTACCAGCTGATATAGTTAAAGGGACCTCAGTTAGTGTGATATTTATGAAATGGGTTGAAGTCCAAATACATGTGATGATCACAATACACTTTGATTAATGAGGGGTGGGAGGCTAGTTAAAATGTGTTTTATTTAGTCAAGACGTATGTTAAAATGATAGTTAAAAATGTTAGAAGTTTAGAATAAAATAGTTTAGTTCTTTAAAAATCATAAGAAGAACAAAGCTAGATGTTGACATTGCTATTTTAGGCTGTGTGTTTTCCATATGCTTCTTGCTTTCCCTGTCACAGGTGGTGGCAGCAATATTGGTGTGATTGAGGTTATGCTGGCACCACTCGCACACAGGCGCACAATGGTGTTAGCTGGGCAGAAAGAGTGGCATCTCTGGCTACCGGGCTGGGGGCGACCTTTACCATAGGATGAAGTAACCTTGCATTCGGCTGCAAGGTGTACTGTACGTACACAGGTGCTGGTCGATGTCCACTTTCTGCTTTTCTTTCTTTCTTTTTTTCTTTTTTAAAATAATTTTCCCCACAGTGAAATCCACTGACTCCTCCAAGTAAATTGATCTTCCAGTTTGATGGAATTGGGAGTCTTGACAAGTGAAACCAATTTAATGTAAAGTAATTGACTTTCAAATGGTTTCTCTGTGCTATTTTTTGGAATTCTATAAGATGCTAGAGATAGCTTAAGTCTTTGATCCAACTTAAAATTTGTACTTATTTTCTTTTACAAATAATATATTGTGTCTGTGCAGAAAAAAGTAGCGGAAAGGATTGCTTTACTCCCAAGAGGAGGAGATGTTGTCTTGCTAGGATTGTTATAATCCTCCAAGCTCACATTTAATATAACAGACTGAAGTAAACATTAGAATCCTATTTGGAGCTATTCTGCACAGTCTAACTATTGATCTTTAGAATCTAAAATTGTATGTGAACTTATTCTTAAATAATTGAACTATTTTATACTTAAAATGACTAATGATTGTGTGGTCAGTTTGGGAAAAATAAGATTGGTAAATCTTGATTCACAGAAATGTGTAATTATATTATTTTCATAAAATAGCATTTTCATTTTGTAATGTGGTTTAACATCCTTGTTGTTTGCCAAATAAATTTCATTTGGCTGTGAAAATTCTCTTTGCTTGCAGTATCTGTTTCTCTTCCTAGGCTCACGTTGGTGACCCAAGCCTATTGTAAACAAGTGATTATCTCAAAGGGAGATGCCAATGGAGTAACAATTTGTTAACCTTACGTTTTCTGTCTGTATATTTTTTAAAAATTTGGTAGTTTCTGGAAAAAAGAGAAGGGGGTTTGTAGTATTTAACCCTATTTATTTCTGTATATTTTAGTTAATTAGTTTTTGGAATAAATGGATTTCAGTATAACTTTGTGGTTAAATTGCATTGCCTTTATGTGTAGGCTTATTTTTTAATTAACATTTAACAGAAAAACATTTGAAATAGAATTTGCATGTCTGCTTTAATTAACTTAAAAGACTGATTTTAATCTGACTATGACACTGAGCGTATTCTTTAAATTACTCATAATTTATAATGTTTAATTTAATATAATCTTAATAAAATTTAGCAGTTTTAGTTTAAGATGTGCCATTTTGTTCTCTGTGTGTCTGAATGAAGCTATAACATTTGCCTTTTTATTGCAGGTTTTCCTTTGGAATATGGATAAATATACCATGATACGGAAACTAGAAGGACATCACCATGATGTTGTAGCTTGTGACTTTTCTCCTGATGGAGCATTACTGGCTACTGCATCTTATGATACTCGAGTATATATTTGGGATCCATATAATGGAGAGATTCTGATGGAATTTGGGTGAGTACAGCATGAATATTTTCATCTATAATTCATCCCTGGCTATGCATATAGCTTTTAAGAAGTTATATGAATAATTAGAATCTCTAACATACAAAACCTAAAATTATAGCCTATCATAATTTAAAATCTTGTTACTTAAACCATTGAATAATGCAAACCTTTGGATATACATTCAATAAATAATTTGGCTCTCCTGCTCTCTGTAGAAGTGGTAATTATATTTAAAGTTTGATGTTGGGGAAAAATTATATTAAAATGAAAGAATGAAAGTTGGATCTAAGCTTACTGTTTTGAACCAACCACATTGTGAAGAAGAGAATAATTTGGATTTATCAGCTCTACTCAATCTCAGTTGTATTCCTTAAGGATACTTTAAACCTTATTCAAAGAGATATGTACTTTGTACCTGGGTAGTTTTATTTCTTTAAGTAACTCTGATATCCACTGAAAACATGTATTTGACCTCAGGCACCTGTTTCCCCCACCTACTCCAATATTTGCCGGAGGAGCAAATGACCGATGGGTACGATCTGTATCTTTTAGTCATGATGGACTGCATATTGCAAGCCTTGCTGATGATAAGTAAGTATGTGAACTATAGCTTGACTTACTTCTTATTGCCTTTTAAAGATTTCCTTTCATCTTTCTATTTAATGAAAACATTCTCTTTTTTTTTTTGAGACAGAGTCTCGCTTTGTTGCCAGGGCTAGAGTGAGTGCCATGGCATCAGCCTAGCTCACAGCAACCTCAAACTCCTGGACTCAAGCAATCCTGCTTCCTCAGCCTCCCGAGTAGCTGGGACTACAGTCACACGCCACCATGCCTGGCTAATTTTTTTCTATATGTATTAGTTGGCCAATTAATTTCTTTCTATTTATAGTAGAGACAAGGTCTCGCTCTTGCTCAGGCTGGTTTTGAACTCCTGACCTCGAGCAATCCGCCCAACTCCACCTCCCTGAATTCTAGGATTACAGGCATGAGCCACCACACCCGGCCAATGAAAATATTCTTAAGCCTTAAAAAGCCTTTCTGTAAAGAGTTTTAATGTCTCTTTATCTAGACAAGACCTTTGGAGATGTTGATGTGTTTTAAAGATTATTGGCCTGGGCAGGGGGCAATGGCTCATGCCTGTAATCCTAGCACTCTGGGAGGCTGAGACGGGAGGATCACTTGGGCTCAGAAGTTCCAGACTAACCTGAGCAAGAATGAGACCATGTCTCTACCAAATAGGAAAAAAAACCCAGCCAGGTGTTGCAGCACGCACCTGTAGTCCCAGCTACCTGAGAGGCTGAGGCAGAAGAATTGCTTAGAGTCCAGGAATTGGAGGTTGCAGTCTGCTACAATGACGCCACTGCACTCTACCCAGGGTAACAGAGTAAGACACTGTCTCAACAACAACAAAAACAAGGCAACTGAACACCCTCCTCACAACCCTCCACCCTAAATAAAAAAAGAATATTGGCTTCTACAGTTATCCTTTTAAACTAAAGATAATGCATGCCTTTCCTTGTGTTTCTTGTTTAAGCAAACTGGATAGATTCTTAATCAGCTTTTAGCCCAGATCACAGAGATTTTTTAAAGTAGTATCTTATAAAGGTTGAAGCAGAAGGAAATTTCTAAAGTGAAGAAATAGTAAAACCATAGTAATTTGTATCCACTATGATTGAGACTAGAAGATAAAATGTGAACATGAATGAGATGTTCTTATTGGTAGGAAGCAGAAATCAGTTATAGGCATTTCATTTTTTCATGCTTTTTCATACAGTGTTCATAGATATATAACATTGAGTAGTTTGGTCACATCATTCATAAAGCAACTCATTTTTCCAGAATATTAGCAAATATATGGGTAGAGTTTTATTAGCAATCATTGTTTTCTGTTTGTTCAAATAGATTTAGCATATTAGTTCTTCACTGTATTCCTAGACACACATTGTGTAGGTTAAAAGCCTTTGTAAATGTCTGGAAGAGGGTAAAACAGATTAGATAATTGTCTTTTAAGTGTAAGAAAGTAAGGGGAAAACTTCCCAGTTGTGAACATTATAGGTCTGAATGCTGGGAAGGGAAGGCAGCCGTGCATTGTAGTCTCTGTCTCTTAAGTGTGAGTTGTTCCAAATTACCACCTGGTATAGACTAAAGTATTTTATGAAGTAAGTTACAGTAATTACCTGTTGCAGTGATATTTGTGTGTGTATTTTGTGACTCAGAACACAATGGTATTTCTTTCTAAATTTTAAAAGTTGCTTTTTCCTTAAATTTCCTACTAGATACTTACTAGATAATTTGTTTCCTTTCCAGAATGGTGAGATTCTGGAGAATTGATGAGGATTATCCAGTACAAGTTGCACCTTTGAGCAATGGTCTTTGTTGTGCCTTTTCTACTGATGGCAGTGTTTTAGCTGCTGGGTAAATACATTTTTCTCTTTTCTCTAAGGGACAGTTAGGGGAATTTAAGGTGGCTTTTATGTAAACCAACCAGTAATTTATTGTCACTAATTCACCAATAAGTGCTCTTTATAATATTATTTCCTTGTCGTAGGGTATATCATTGGTTTGTTCTCTTTAGTTAAGTTTTAATGTGAAGTTTGTGACTCTAATACACAGCCATGGACGATAATTATTCGAGCTGTAGGAGTGTTGAAATACACGTGCTTGAGCAACTAAGCTTATGCTTCGTTTCTGTTTAGGACACATGATGGAAGTGTGTATTTTTGGGCCACTCCAAGGCAAGTCCCAAGCCTTCAACATTTATGTCGCCTGTCAATCCGAAGAGTGATGCCCACCCAACAAGTCCAGGAGCTCCCAATTCCTTTCAAAGTTTTGGAGTTTCTCTCCTATCGTATTTAGAAGACTCTGCCTTCCCTACTATTAATAGTAGGGACTGACAGAATATACTTTACATAAACCTCAAGCTTTACTGACTTCAAGTATCTGTTTTTAAAGGTTTAGGAGATTTATTTAATTTGATACGTTCTTGTACTGCATTTTGATCAGTTGAGCTTTTAAAATATTATTTATAGACTGGGATTATAGAAATACTTCTGAACATATCAAATGTAATTTTTTTTAAGTTCTAACTGTGAAAACATACACACATGTATATATTTAGATATAAGCTGCTATATGTTGAATAGACTGTTTTGCTTTTCTAATTGTTAGTTCTGACATGTGTATATTGCTTCAGTAGAGCCACAATATGTATCTTTGCTGTAAAGTGGAAGGAATTTTTTTATTTTGGGACACTGAGATGTTAAATATTGACTTAAGCTGAATTGCCTCATACAGATGTATTTGGTTGGGGAAGCGGTGGGTGTCAGACTGACCTGCAAGTGAAATCCTTTTTGTATAGGGAAAGGTGGAGTCTGAATGTGACATTGTTTTTTAAAAAAAAAAAACAACAGAGCCAGGATATAACTAGAAAAAGGGTGTCTTTGCCCCCCCACCCCCTTCCTCTAAATACTGCTGTGGGCCTTAATTTTGGAAACAGCTTGCTACTTTACCTTTGTGGTATAAAGTATTATAAATATTAGTCTATTTGGAAAATCCATCTACTGTGTTATATTGCTAAATATTTGTTTTTTCTAAGGGACAATTATTTTAAGACCATGAATTTTTTTTAAAACACTTATTATGTTTCTGCAGGGGATGGATATTGGTGACTTGCCAAAGAGAAGCAATCCAGTATATCTGCTTTTGCCTTCTGTTATTTATCTTACCTGCAGATATTAAGAATGTATGCATTATGTAAAATGCTTGATTATATATTTTTGTTGAGTTTTTTAATAAAAGACTTGTAAAAAGCAAATATATTGCAAATATTTCCTAAATACGTTAGAAGGTTTATTGTTTTTTGTCTGTCTCTGTTGTAAGATTGACACAACCACAAGTAAATTAAGCAAAAAGGGTAATGAAGAAATAGCACAAGATTAGTGCACTACTGTAGAGTTAATTCAGTGCTTCATAAATGCAGTGAGTTTTACATTGTTTTGTTTTGGGGAAAACTGTTGTAGTAATGCTTATTTTGAAAGCATAGAAAAGCTTTAGAATAAAGGAAAAATAGCAAAGGAAAAATATGATCTTTTAAGGGGAACTAACAGGTTTTTTGTAAGCCTATATGGTTAAAGTAGATTTAAGAAAAATCTAGTGGTCTGGGACTTTTGAGAAGGCAAAAAAAAAAAAAAAAGCAAAACTTTTATTAGCCACATGTGATCTTGAAGACTTCATTGTTTCCACTGAAAGTTTATTTGGTTGTTCTTATAGTTAGCTCTGTTAAGGGATTTAAAATTTTATAGGGGTGCAGGTTATAAATTTGAGAGGCAGTAGAAAATCTGCCCAAATTATTTCTTGAGGATCGCCTGTATTTTGCAAAAAGAAGCACAAAAAGCATCTTATCTTTAAACTGTTTGTGATTTTCTTTTTGAATTTTACTTTGTAATATATGAGCTTTATACTTTTAAATTTTTTTTTTTTTGTCACAGTAGGATTGCCTCTAGCTTTATACTTTTAAATAAGTTACTATTACATATTCTCCACACCATTAAATTATTTACTCTCCACACCAACATATCCAATCAAGTAAAAACATCAGTTTGGAAGATACATTCTCTGAGATGTCCACAGTTGTTTTCTACCTTTTCTCCTGAAAAACCATAGTGCTGATATAAAAGGATGATTACAGAATATGTGTCAAGTAGAAACGTGCTTGAATTTTCCATTTGTGGGGAAGAACAGGATGATGATACTTTAGACTGAAGGACCAAAGAACAATAGGAAAAGTGTGATTGGATTATTGACTTGGGTCAGATTGTAGCTACTTGATTTAATGCTGCTTTCACTTCTATTCTTTGCCACAAACATGTCATTTGGAGAACTGGCAAGAGATATCATTTATGTTCGGATTTGATTTCCTGTTTTAATATGTAGGAAAATCTGTCACATTCGGCAGTCATGCTATCCTTTTACAATAGTGCAATCATTTAAAGACCTATAACTTGATCGTAGGTTGGTAAATCTTAAATTTATCGTCCTTGAAACTCCCTGCCTTCTGTGATTGAGGTAAAGTTGGATTCAGCTGGTTTGCACTGCCCTCAAGGCAGCAAGACCAAAAAAGGCTAGACTCCACTGTAGCATGCTTATGCGTTGAGGCAGTGGCAGGGGACTTGGCTGTCAGCCAGCCAGCACAGGATTAAGAAAATAGCGTAAGTTCAACATTGTCTGCACAGCCAGAAACCATTGAGACAGTGACTCCAACTTCCAGAGTAATCAGAAGGAAAATGTATGGATGATACAGCATTTTATCCAAGTAATTCTGGACAGGTTCTGGCCTATGATAGTGCATTTTAACTAGAGAATGTATAGATTATAAAATATAAATAACTACAGTAGAGTTATATATGGGTTTACCATTGTATGGTGGTGGTAAAAATCATAGATAAAACATCTGTTGGAATACACTGAGTTTTTTGTTTTTAAATTCTTTCCCCTCCTAGCTGTTAGCTAACAATAAAAT